TTGACGAAGCTGGGATGATTGAAGTACGGAGAAAAATGACGACTCAGGACTTTTCACTTTTAACAGCAAGCATATCTTTATTTTAATTTATAGCAGATGACTTTTTCCAGATGAAGTTAATCAAATAACTTATTCAGTAATTGAACTATTAGAAACGACTGACTTTAAATTTTAATACGTCATAACGTTCTAACAAAGAAAAGAGGAGCACAGCGGAAGCGTTAGCAGGACGAAGGCGAGAAGGCATCTGTGTAGGAGAACTTCTGACGCAGCATTTATATGAGGAGGTTATGTAATAGGTGCGAATGTTCTAGAAGGTACTGGGTTAGGGGACGATCCTGAATTGCAGAAAATTAATTAAAGGTTGCTGGTTCGCAAAGAGCAAAACCATTGTATTTTTTTTATATTTTACATCTCCCCCCCCATCAAAAAGAGACGCCGGGGTGAGAAAAGCATTTGCAACTAAAATAGGTGTGCACATTTACATGTTGTAGCAGTCCTATGTACAAAATTTCAACGTTCTGAGAATACACGTTTTTGAGTTATGCGAGATACATACATATATACATACATGTATACGTACGTACGCACAGACGCACGTAAAGATTCTGTTCAGAATTCATTTTAAATAAGTTTTATATTTTTTTTTTGGGAAAAAGAGTCCTTCATTCTATCCTTAAGTACAGATGTCACGCAAAAATATCGTTAAATTGCATTCGATAGCGGTCAATATGAATATTTTCGCTGAAATATGGTACATGAAATTTTTCGCGATTACAATACTTCTTTTTTATTTCGTACAAGTAAGTAAAAAGCACCAACTTTAAATTCAAAAATGAATGACTTTTAAAAAAATGTGATTATAAGATGATACGCTGTTCTTGAACAACGAAAATATTAAAGTTCTGTAAAGACTTTTAAGGCGTCACAGAAACATACTACGACAAAAGCTCGGCATAACGCAAGGAAGTTAACATATAGTGAAAATTACGTTTTGTGCTTTTCTTAAAAGTTCTTTTCATAAAGGTTAAATGCATCTAAGATAAATTGCATCTAAGATACGTATGTCTAAGAATTTCACATTGCCAGAAAATTTTAAATAATTTTATTTCAAGTTTTTTTTTTTTTTTTTTCTTTTGACTCGGCACAGTTAAACAACTAAACTTTAATATCTGAAACATTTCACATTATCTTCCTAAATGCGTGCGGAGTTCAATTGGCAAAGAAATTAATTAATTAAAAATCGTTATTTGCTATTGACTTAAAAGATTCTGAAAAGAATTTTCTAAAGTGTACAGGAGCTTCATCTTAATCTTCTAGAGTAATCGAGATTGCCTTTTTTCTCTGGTAATGCATTTTATCATTTCACGTCTGTTGATTTTAACATACGCTAGGCACTAGAAAGGAATTTATAATAAACATATCTGCACTCCTAGCAGATAAGTATCTGGGATAGTGCGACAATAAGCCATCGGCAAAATAAGATGTAATAGCAATATAATGCAAGTCTCAATTTTGTTTCATTTCCAAAACTAACTTTATTTATATTGGCATTAGAAGAGGTTCATTTTGCTCTAGAAATACAATAGACTCCGTGATATGCTGTCTCAATGAGCAGCAACGATGCTCAAATGAGACTTTGATGAAAACGACAGTTCCTTAAATCTATTCGTATTACTTTAAACGATGTTCTTGCGTTTGCAATATGACTTTTATGAATGAAATATTCAGTTTCCAGTTCTTAGAAAACATTTAACGTATTGGACTTAGAGATAATTCATTAATTTAGTCAAAAATAAATCAGAATAGGATACTAGAGCTGAAGAGCTGTTGTTCATTGTTTTAAATAATACTACGCTTACGGTTCTATGAACAATAATTGTCCAAGTCTTTCTAAGTTTAGTCATTTTGCATCCTAATTGCTTTATATTTTTTCTTTATTTTTATATTTTTATTTCATTTGAATTATTCATTTCTAATAAAACAAATATATATTTTTATGAATTTTGCATATATGCAAATAATTTTTATGAAATTGGACGTAAATTGTTGTACCTGTTGTATAATATAACATGAAAGACCTCAATGTGGAGCTTCACCGAAAATATTGTTACGAATTTGGTATTTAAAAAGCTAATGTTAGTTCAATTATAAATTAAATGGTTTTATTTCTCGCGCAGTGCAGCGCGTGACGAATATTAAAAGAAAGCTAAGCCGGAAAATTGAAAATACAAGAGCGCGTGCATTAAATAAATAAATATCTCTTTTTGATTTCGAGAAAGTACTGGAAAATTCTAGCGCGTGATTTTAAAATTTTATAAAAGGAGGAAAACATCTCAGTTAGTAGTAGTTGCTTAGTTTGTTGTTGTTTAGAAAACTGATCTTGTTGATTGTAGCGAATTCGCAGATTAGCGTTCTTTAGCTGTTTTGAATTACGTTCTATTGGACATTTGAGTAGTTAAAAGAAAACTACTGTGAGATATTGTAATACTGCATGATAATTTGAGAAAATTTAAGCATTTTTGTTGTGACAATAATAAATTTTTGTTCATTTTTCATCCAACTTGTGCATTCATTTCATAATGAACCCGTACGCACGCAACAATATGATTACAGAGGCAAGTCCATTTAACATTGAGGTAAATTGTTGCGCAAAGCTGGCGATAGTTCTGGAAAGTTCTCTACTGCAGGGGGTTTTATAAGACAAGAAAGCTTTATAAGACAGGAAAGAGCATTAGTTTTCAGCTTACTCTAGAACTGAGTTCATAGTTTAGCTCAGAGTATTGAGAGAGCATTGTGCGAGCTTATGCATTTGAAGATTTTGATATTTTTTCATGTTTAACGTTCTGAGTAGTTTAAAGTGGTAACTACTGATCGTGCTTTGTTGTTCTTAGAAGACCTTTGCAAGAAAATTTTTAAAACGTTTCAAACGTTTTAAACGTTTAATTTTGAGTTAAAATTAAGCGTTTAAAAATCAGTGCTTCAAATGTTCATTTTTCATTTACGAAACTGAGCAGTTACACACCCTGTAGAGACATTAGGTATCTTTGTATCTTTCGAAAGCAGGGAAGATGAAAAATTAGCAGCGCCTTCGCCAGGAATAGAACCACGGACCTATGGGATACGCAAGACTGTCTATCGGAAATTCTAAAGCTATCGGGTTGTCCGGAAAATAATGTAGGTTTTTGCAATCGTTCATCTTTCCTGTACACTTTTAGCAACAAAAATAGTTTGAATTACACTGATTTATATATCATTTTGAAGTTCTATTTTAGCTCTATATTTCTATAATAATTATTTTGTTCCAAAATTATTTAAAAAAATATTTACTAGGTGTTTTTGTTTAGATGTCAGAAAGAGATTTTCTGCAAATATATTTTTATGAGTACAAGCTAGGCTACAGCGCAGCACAAACGGCTCGAAATGTCAGCGAAGTATGGGGCGAGAAAATTGTTAATGAATCTACAGTTCAACGGCGGTCCCAAAAGTTTCGTGGTGGAGAATTTGACTTGGAAGATCGAGAGAGTCGTGGACGCTCTTCAGCTGTTGATGACCATGATTTGAAGACTTAAGTTGAAACAAACCCGTGCACAACTGTTTGAGAGCTTTCGGAAGAGCTTGGCGTAAGCAAAACAACGATTTCTGATACTTAAATCGTATAAGAAAGTCAAAGAAGCTCGATAAGTGGGTGCCTCACGAACTGAAGCGAAAATAAAAAAAAAATCGTTTTCTAGTGTCGTCTGCTCTCCTTCTCCGCAACAAAACGATCTTTTTCTTGATCGAATTGTTTTGTGCGATGAAAAGTGGATTCTCTCTAACAACTGGCGACATTCGTCTTAGTGGCTGGACCGCGGTCAGACACCACAACATTTTCCAAAGCTTAATTTGCACCAAAAGAAAATTATAGTGGCTGTTGGCCGGTCTCATCCCCCATAGCTTCCTATCTGGGCGAAACGCTTACGGCAGATACGTACTGCAGAAACCAAGACCAGGTCAAAAACACCTTTGACAACTTTATCGCGTCCACAACTCCAGAATTTTATTCTACCGGCATAAAGAAACTTATATCTCGTTGACAAAAAGGTATTGTTTCGGCTTCTGCTTATTTTGATTAATAAAAATGTTTTTCAGTTATGATATTTTGAAGATAAACCTGCATGATTTTCCGGACAACCTAATATGTCGTTTTTAAATATTTTGTGATTTTGCTGTTAAATAGACTTTTTTATGTGACATAAGTGCCAAGGACGTGATACCTAATAAAAAGTAAACATGCAAAACTTTAGTAATAGAAAGAGAGAAAAAGTTTTGTAAAGCCATCTTAGTAAGAAAACTGAACATTGTTAGGATAAACTGAGAAAACACTGCAAAACGCAGAAACATATTATGCCAACACTTAAATCTGCATTGAGAATTCTAAACGAATACCACTATGCTGTTTGCAAAAGTTTAGTAATTGTTCTGTTGAATTGTATATGATGTAAGTCCGAGTAAAGTTATGCTTAGTGATAAAGAAAAAAGAAAAAAAATATGGATTAGTAAGAGTGAGTGTATCAGTTAACTGGTAGACTGCGAGCTCAACGAGAGCGTAAAACCCCTTAATAACATAAATAATCAAATGTATATCAGGGACTGTAACTGTCGTTGGTCATAGAGTTTGAGTATCAATGATGAAAACGCTGCTTGACCGACTCCAACCCTATTCTATTTGAAAGCAACGACGGAATGATAAATCCAAGTCTCCTGGTACGACTTTCTCGTCCTTTAATATTACAAATTTCTTCAGAATTGTTTTACACTGATCTAGTTTTAAGCATCTGGTTCTGCTTTTAATTCTAAGACAGTAGAGTTACCAAAGTTCCCTGTCTTAACCGGGATCTGACGTCGAGCCAGTGGTAGGCATCATCAGCCAATAACTACAATGATCAAGGCAATATAATTGATTTTCATCATTTTAGTGCACATTTACAGAATTTTGAACATAAAAATATGGTACTTACTTTTCAAGAGTTACGTTGTGAAATTTATTGTCATTTATAGGTTTTGAGCTTCGTATGATTCTTCTAACGTTTCCGCCAAAGTAGATCCATAATTCAGTTTTTCCTTTCTGAACACTTATTCTTATTTCTCTTTGAAGGTCTTTGGAGGGGTGTTCAATCCAGGAGAAAATGGGCTTCGAATGTTCTCGTGTTCGAAGTACGAAGCTTGTATTCGTCTTTTCAAGTACTTCTGTGCTAGAACATATGCATTAAAAATATTACTATGTTTTGCTTGCTTTACATTTTAAAAAAATCTGATGTGTACACCACATGACTTCCTTGTACGAAGTATTAAATTATACGCATTTTGTTCTTGCATTTTGTTTAAATTTATTGGATTGAATTAAACCTACCTCGCCGACAGCGTATAAACCGCAATAGAATAAATGCATTCTTTAAAATTCACACTATTTGTTTACCATAGAGCGACACTCTGGCACGGTTCACTTAACAGTATTATATTTCGTTCATATTATAACTCGAATGCCAAAATTATATATGTAAGAATATCTAATCGTTGCCATTTCTATTCAAATACTATAATAAAGCTAGAACGATTAAAAAAATTAAGCAAACAAAATAAAAAAAACAGTTTTTCCACACACGATTGATTATTTCTCATTCAATTAATTCAGTTCTCACTTCGCGACAAAGCAAAAATACATAAAAACTCAAAATATCTGCATTAAAAATTACGAAGTAAATCCGAAACACTTTATTTCCTTGAAAAAGTTCCAGAAAGGATTAAGCATGATTTAATTCGCAAGACGTTATCTTTGTTGTTGCGAAGCTACGTTTCTCTAGATTGGCAACAAATCCACAAAATCTGCGGTTTCAAATGTAAACAAGCAATGGCCGCCATCAAAAAAAATTATTAGACTTAGCGACACGTAAACAACTTTAAAATTGTTGATAATTCTAAAGGTATTGCATACCGATTTACTAAAGGCATAAAAACCTTAACCAGAAGATAAGAACAACATAATTCAATAATTTTTAAAGCAAAAAATATACAATTTACAAACATATAAGAGTAAGAAACTGAGATCATGAGCCGGGTAACAGAGTGGATATGTATATAAATATATTTATATACGTTTGACGCGGCCGATTGCAAACCAAAATACGAGGTGCACTCTACATGTTATAGTAGTCCTATATACAAAATTACAAAATTTTAACGTTCGGGCTACTCGTTTTTGAGTTATGGGAGATACTTCTTACAGACGCCACAAAAATTCTCTTCAGAATTCATTTTAAAGCAGTTTTATAATTTTTTTGGAGGAAAAGAGTCTTTTATTTTGTCCTTACGTACAGATATCACGCAAAACCTTCGTTAAATTGCATTCGAAAGCGGTCAAAATGGATATTTTCCTTGAAATATGCTGCCTTAAACTTTTCGCGATTACAATACTTCCTTTTTACTTCGTACAAGGAAGTAAAAACATTAATAATTTTTCTTAACGTTTACTACCTTGCCCCTATATCAGTGGTTTAAATTATTCTCTATTTAAAGCGACCCAAAATGATTTCGAAAAGTATATATAGCGCATAATACAATTAATTATTAGTTTACTGTAAGTAATGCATCGTCATGTGTCGTATGTTAATTAAAATTTAATATGTTTACGTACATTGCACTGATACTGCACAATACATTGAATGCGGTATATTCACATTTACACACAGTCACGTTAGGTCTTGGAATATATTTTTAAGGAATAAGGAGACTATACTTACGCTGTAATGTTAGTAATTTCTTTACCGTACTTAAAAATATATAAGTACATCTAGCAACATCGTATAGTTTAAAATTTAAAATTAAGCATATTCAACTAGGTTTCTATGCAATGTACATACAACAGTAATCATTACAACAAAATTACATTCCGAGCTTAATTTTACATGGTGAAAAACATACCAAAAATTTAATAATGTAACTTGTATTTTGACTAGTATGGTTACCTTTTATATTTTTAATATATGCATATTTTGTTTTCAACAAAGGGTAATAGAAGTTTCAGCCTGAGCCTACGTGCTTATGCAAGGGAATTACAGTTTCTTATATTGCTTTCATGCTTTGCTATGAAGCAATTATTCACGTAAACGTTATAAACGTAAAATCACGTATTATTCACGTAAAGCGTTCTAGCTTTGCGTTAGAAGAGATACAGTTTAACATATAATGCTATCTAAACATTCAGTCTTCAATTCCATCTATTCAATTAATTCATTATTTAATTTTCCGTACGAAGTCTTTGCCCGTAAAATAAAACGTTTTTGCCAAAAAGCGATGCAGAGAAATGGAACTGTTAGTCATAATCTTTTACTAATGTTTCTCGATGAGAGAACAGGCACTCAAGTGTAGATCTAGAAAAAGTTTGTAACAAGTTTTTGACAAAGGCAACTGTTTATAACGACGCAGCAAAGTTTGAAGAAGTTTTTGCTTATGCATCTGCAGCTATCCTTCAACATAATGATTATTAAATAACGACATATATATGAAACATTGTCCTAGTTTGTAACTTTTGTTTGGAACAATTCTTAAGATCATTTATGAAATATTTTAATAAAGTTCCCCAAATGTATGAAAACGTTCTCAGTAAGTACACACGAAGCACAAATTTATCCTTCTCTAGCATTTCCTACTCCATGTGTAGCAGTTTAAGAAAGAAAAAACAGCATTACCTGTCATAATAGAAACATCCATCGTGGCGTGGCCAAAATGGTACAGGCTATAAGAAATTTCTTTTCTTGAACAGTAATAACCATTAATAACTTGTTCAGTATTACGGTGATCAAAGCATGAGGTTTAATAACAAAGGCCGAGTTTCGAGGCGTTCATGATTTCCAAATTAATTCCCCAAACGCACCAGATATCAGATACAGAAAGATTTGCACTCTCTTAAATCAAAGAAAGATTCGAACGTTCCATTAACAATAGCATAACATCTAGTTTACCATTGCATGCACATAAATTTATATTTTATCTCGACTTAATTATTTTATCTAAGAAAATCTGTTTTTATTCGGTACCAGTTCATCTTCGTCTAAAACAACTTGAAAAGGACAAATATTTAAACTTTGAGATTCACATCCAGACTTTGCGTTAAAAATCATGTATATTATACCTAAAAATACAATATCTAGAATTACAGAGTTTTATTAAATAGAATACCTTTAATTAGTGTGTCAAAGTTTAGCTCAAAGAATCTTAAATCTTTCTTCTTTCAGAAATCCTAGGATATTCAAACATAATATTTCTCTTTCACAAGGTTCATGAAAAATTTAAAAGCCAATGTAGATAGCAGTAAGTATTTATTCAACTATGAAATCCGCTTTAGTTTTATTATTATATTATACAAATTATACATACAAAACTCTAGAAATTCTTTTAGATAAAAGTAACAACAGTACTAAAGCCAAAATCTTTTAAATAATCTCTTCTGTCTGCATTTTTTATGATGTTGTAATGATTGAGTCTAACTACTATGCATTATTTTTTATACGTTTTCTACTGAATAAAAGGCAAATTTTGAAACGTTTCCGAAGTTAATAATAAAGCAAGCAGCAGCTACAGTCGATTATATAAAAGATTGAATAAATGTGATAGTAAGCTGAAATTACAGCTCTTTATAGTCAAGTCTATTTTCGTCAGAATTATATGTATATAACGTTGTTGGAGCTTTCTTCTAGTTGTTCTCTTATTCTATAAATGCTTAAAAGTCTCAAAGGTACAAAAGACGAGCTTAAGTCATGAAAACGGTTTAAACACAATATTTGGTATTCGAAATAAAATTCTTACGATATTGTAAAAAATAATCCATATAGGTAATTATAAAAATCTTTTATAAACCAATTAAAAATAAATAAATGTTACCTCATCGATTTTAATTTTTAATTATTCATAACATTTCTGTTGAAATATCGCAGCTTTATAACGTCGAGCTAAGCACTTATTACACACCATGCCTTTATATATTTTTATATTTTAAATATTACACCGTAAACATGTACTACAATTTTTAGGTATAAAATTATTTACAATGACGTCGTCATTTTTAGATTTAAAAAATAATTTTTATAAAAGTCCAAATTTTTAAAAGCTACCACTCTCAATAATATTTTATATTTACAAGAATTTATACGAATTCTAACAATTTAATCCCAAAGTATTTGATTTCTCTACGAGAAAACTGATCCAACTATTTTATTGAAAAATTTGCCACTTTTTCGGCTTTTTCGAAAGATCGCTTTAAAACATAAATTAGAATAATTTATTTTTGACCTATAATAGCATTCGGTGACATCCTTAGCATTCTTTAATTTTATTATATAAGATATGTGGAAAGAATTTTCACTCAAATTTTCTAGTAATAAAAATTTTAGCTTTTCAGTTTATGTAGGACTCTTGAACTTGATCTCAAAACTTAACATTAAATAGCTGCATTAAATTTTGTGGAAAGGTTGCAAAACATAAAATTATTTACAATGACGTACATACTACGTTTCGGTATTTCATTGGGATAATGGAAGCCGGATTGTCAGCTCGGCGAGTAGCCCGCCACCAAGCCGTTCTGAATTTATTGTAAGGAGGTGCTGGGAGTAGAGGACGAGAGTGAGATCCCTGCCTGTTTCTCTACTATGTGGACGACAAGCCAGCTATTATGCTTCTTAAACTGTTGTTGTATGGAGAAGGATATCTACTAACTATGCACTATAATGTTGAACTATTATGCTATGTGAAAAATCTGAAGACTAAAGACTATTAGTCTTAGCTTTGATATTTACAATAACTTTGAGAGCTTTCATTAAAACATTTTCTTATCGCACTAGTTAAGCTCTCCAGATCTGAAAATTTCTTTCATGCTGACTCCGAGTTTGGGATATACCCGACAGCCAAGAGCTTGTATATTGTTGCTTCCTTTTCCGTGTATGTTGTTTGCTATATTGTCCATCTTTTCATTGACTTGTGCGTTACATCCATCAAAAAGTGAGAGACCCTCTCTATTTTAGAGAACTTACCTGATAGCACATACCAGCACATTTCTTAACGCATCATCACTAATTTTGTGAATGCTAGACATGATGACAGTTCTTATAACTAAGTACACTAAAGTTTAAACCGAAAGCCTACTTTACTGCTTAAGAATTGCAAATAATTCTGCTTGAAAGACAGAATAAAGGTATCTCTCCTTGACTAATCACAGAAAAATATATTCATTACCCGTTTTTTTTTCCTTTGTTCGGAAGACACTGTTTGTACATTCCTCAGTCTTAGAGCCATCGGCACATGTTTGATATTCTACTGTTCCTTCTGTTATTTCACTGATAAATACCTCGAAGTTGTACCTTGTATGATGGGTTTTTGACTTTGGAACTATTTTCTCATCGTTCCGTGCTACTAGACAGAGGACGCATACATGGCGGCAAAGCTGACGTCCTTGGCAAATCAATAGCCAAGAGGATCGTCACAACTTCCAATACGCAAGCACACCGTCAGCCATGTGATTATCTCCCATCGGACAAAAGGCAGGACTTTCAATAAGGACTCATGTATCTATCCAATTAATCGCAAGACGCCTGGGATACCGCGGCACGACTACATGTACTGCAAATGATATCCATCCCCGTCGCCTCCTTTGGAGTGATCTCGCGATAGAAGAGATTTGATCGCAACCCAGTGGAACTGGATCGTCTTCAGCCATGGATAAAGATTTAGTATGGGCAATAATGATAGCAGTGCGTGTGTGTGAAAGCCTCGATAGTGAACGCTCCAATCTTGTTGAGTTCCCATGAGGCATTTTGCAAAAATGCTCGACCCCGCACAGAGTCTGTCACAGAAATGCCTCCGTTACTATACCAATTTTACCTAGCCTCACTGATGCCCATATTTGTTACTGCCCAAGCATGTCTGCGATTGGGACCACAGGTTAGGCTTGCTTACAGCAACCGTTGAATTTGAAGATCCAGGGCACCATACAGTACCTGTGCACCTCAGTGCCCTCGGATTACACATCGTGTATTCACGTTTGAATTCCCTTCATTTGCATATTTTCCTGTAATAAGTGTCTTTTTGCTTTGATTTTGTAATCAGTTACTTGTATGAAAGTTGCACTTACATAAATAAAATTTAGTTCGATTCTGACAACTCTTTCTTGGTGTGCAACTTTTATTGCAATGGGTGTTTAAGAAGAGATGGGTCATATATAAGTTAGATTTCGTAATTTTTACAAAATTATTGGTATAATTTAGAAATGGCCGGGAGGTAAGAATTTTCATTATTTAAAGAATTTTTATAGCTGATAAGTATAAGCCTACGAATGCGATTCAGAAGGTGATAGAAGATTATTCCCCAATTAATAGCAAGAACAAGATAGCAGTAAATAACTATTTGGGGAATTATTTCTAGCTATCTCCCATTTCCCATTATTAGATGGATAAAGAATAATTACATAGGTTGCAGTAGGCAGACAGATGACACAAGAACAATTACTGAGAGAATTTTATGTGCTTTTATAAGTACAATTTGAAACAATCCCTATTAATAATCCACTATAGTTACACATTTCGTGAGTTTTGATAGAAATGTATTCATCTTTACGGCCTTGAAGGTAATTCTTAAACTACTATTTTAATAGTGAGAAAAACTCCAATATCTTTTCACTTAATATTCGAATATTTAACTAAATCATTAATAATTAGCTCATCTATATTTTAAAAAAATCTTCCGAAAATTCCTTTTATTTTTTAAATCTTTTACTCTGACCAACTTATTTTTCTTTCTCTGACAGCGTGTATACTTAAATCGAAATAAACTCAAAAACAAAATAGCATGCCATAAAATTAATTTATTAGCCACTTGCTCAAAGATGTAACAATTCATTGCTCTTTGCATCTCAAACAAAAAGCCCTTCAAATCAAAATCTAAATTAGTACGCAAATCAAGCATTTAATTTAAGCACAGAAGGAGCTTACTACCAGAGCTTACTCTGGTAGCTAAACTTATATAGGTATATATAACTTATATAGTATTTTTAAAGTGAGGTATAAAAAGTACGTTCTTTAAATTAAATTTCCTGAAAATGTGAGTACAGTTAATACGCATTTAAGATGAAGACCAATAATTTTATTTCATGTATGAAAGCAGAGTTACTATCATGTAAAATTCTTTTAGAATTAATGAGATCTTAACATTACCTGAGCGCCTTTTCTTCTGAGAAAATAACAGAGACAGGATCGCTATCATTTTTCGAATCTGGAAGAGCAAAATACTGTTAGAGTTGATTAGTAAACATGTAACAAATAGTTACTAAACATGCAAAGCGAAGTTAAATAAAAAATGAAAGGACGATTTAATTGGCGTCTGCTTTTTCGACAGGTTGTGTGATACAAAACCACAGAATTGAAAAAATTCTGGACTTGTGAAGGAAGTTTGTTCATTTCAACATAATATTTAAGCAGATCTTCAGGCTGTAGATCCATTTTACATGTGAATGAGATGATGCTATTCGTTGGAACCTCAAGAATCAGTCTGATTCATGTTCCATCCGATTCTACTTAGATAGGGTCAACTCAAAATTTGCTCAACACATGTCAGAATTCTCATGACTCTAATACAGGGTGTTCCGTAAATGTTGCGACAAACTTCTGGGGCAGGTAGGGCACATCATTAAGATTAAGAATTGCATAGGAACCCTTACCCAGAAACGTCAAGTACGCCACCAGGGGGTCTTGTACAGGAAAGTGAAGATGTACAGGAAAGTGAGGATTATTCGAGGGGCAGGCACCATACGAAGAGGATGGAACGCTATTCATTTGAACAGATCATTCCCGCATCGATAAAATGGGCGTGGTGGACCGGTTCCTTGGCCCTCACGCTCAGCGGATTTATTGAGCCTTGACTTCTTTTTGGCGGAAGCCATCAAAAGTTTCGTGTATCGCTATCCTATTGTGTCTGAAATGGATCTCGTCGCAAAACTCGCCTGCTCAGCTGCTGTAATTAAAGAAACTCTTGGTGTGTTTGAACACGTCCGGCAATCAATGATCCATCGGTGTCAGGCATGTTTGGCGTCTGATGGTGCTAACATCAAGCATCTGTTGTATCATTCAAGCTGTCGTACACCATTGGCATTAATGTCCAATAAATTTTTCAAATTACTCACTCTGTTGTTTCCTTTCCGATCTTCTACCTCTACTACCATTTACCCTGACATTTCGGGGCATGGATTCCAGTGCAGTTCTTAATCCTTATGATGTGCCCAACCTCTCTCAGAAGTTTGTCGCAACATTTACGATACAGCCTGTATATAACTTAAGATAGTAAACCAAAATGGTCTTGGAGGACTTTGAAGAGTGTCGTGTAGCTCAGAAAATCAATTATGCTGGAGTTCTTCGTCAAGAAATTACAGTGGCAAATGCAGCAGTACCCGTGTGCACATAGACCAATGATGTTCAAGCAACCGCTCTCCTTTGTACTGTGGCTGAACAGCTATTGACATCCCTTTGAGCAGTCAATTAACTATATAGATACAGCTACAGAAAGATTGTATTAAACCTAACCTACAATATATATCATTATATTAACCCATTAATGGAACAGTAGTTGTGTTGGAATTATTTATATGCTACTTCTCAAGATCGCCACTAAATTTTGATTTCTCACATACATTCTGCCTCGGAAGGCTTTCTGCTATCACCCAGTAAACCTAAATAGTCATTCCTGGCGATATCCTAAGCTCAGAGGTGAGCTGAATTTTTGAGCAACTTTTCGAAGTACCATCTGAAGACAGTTAAACATAATTTTAGTAAATTATAACCTAAGCATCTATTTTTTCTGCTAATTCTCAAGATGTTATGCCATCATGCCGTAACAAGAAAATTCAGATGCTTTTACTCTAATGTTAGTTATAGGTTCGAAATTTTTTGATTGTGTTTGGTACTAACGTACAATAAAGAATTTTCTGTGGTTAAAGTGTGCATGTATGTTTTTGACGTACCCTGTATCGCATCAGTTGGTTTCTTGTTTTTCCCTAAAGTCAGAGCTATTGTAGATGAGAAAAGTGCGGACGTCAAATCAATGCGATCCGCTGGAATAATAAGTGAATAACCTCAACAAAATTGCTTTTACGAATGTGACGAAAGATTTATCTAACATAGCAACAATGTAGCATAACTAACTTTTCAAAGACAAAACAAATAATGAATTACCTTAAGGTATTTATACGAATTTAAAAGGACACTATAATCTCCCCATAATTTTATATTCAAATACTATTCAAGATTTACCTAAATTATGACATTACTCATTAATAGCATATTTCCATTTTGAAGTAATCAAAATATTCCCTTTTACAGAATAGCCAACATTATATTGCCGAATTAAAAATTTGTTAATGAGTTACATACTTAAGTTAAATATGTAGCAGTGCTTTCAAGGTTTTTTGCACCATATTTTTACCACAGCTCCATAACATACATGTGTACTGAAATGTAACATATCATTTGGACCAACTGCATTGTTACTCTTAATTCTGAACAATGCTGTAGCATTATTCTCTTGTAATCTGTTTCGTTAGCTTTGTCGAAATATATAAATATTGTTCTTAATATTAACTTCAAACTCAGTTAAAACACAATATTTTAAATGCTTTGTCCTTTTGTACAAGTATTTCGTATTACTGCTCCGCATTCAAATGAAATCATTACATTATACATGTATTCCATTGAGTTTGGCTATCTTGCATGATCTTAATTTTTATTGCCTTTCATTTTCATTTAAAATCGGTACTGACTTTTCTCTTATGTAACTCTGAGGTTGAAATTTACATATTTTATTACCTATTAAAATGCAGTTTGTGATTTATACATTTTATCACGTCTTTTAAAACTGAATATAATGCCTTCGATTCTCATGTTATCTTCCACCGTTATGCATTGTTTGCTTTCTTAGCGAATTTAGAATCTACATTGATATTTCGTAGCTATTTCTAGTTTATTGCTCCTGATAAACATTCGCTTACTGCGTATTTTTAATTTAATCTGAACATAATATTTAACTTACTTAGAAATTATGTATTTATGTATTCAATTAGTTTTATATTCAACATTCGTTACTTGCATGTCCATTGACGTATTCAAATTAATACTATCCTTGGGGAGTCTATTCATTATAGCTGGGAATTTAGCCTTCGCGGTTTTCAAATTAAAATATATATATTATTAAATTAAATTAGTTTATAATGTTATCTAAACACTCTCATGAAGTTTTAGAATATCATTTAGTTTCATTAGCTTAGCTTTCAGTGTTATACCGTTGGAAAAACGGTAGCAGTTCCAATGAACTTCACTGATTAAGGAAGATTATTTAAGGGTTATTGATTAAGGAAGATTATTGATTAAGGAGGATATATTTTAATCAAATATTTTTACCTTGGGGAATCTGTCATATGTTGTTTGTGAATCCCTCAAATCCAAGTGGCGTGTTTGTTGTATTCATTTTTTTTTGGTCAGTAATTACATGATACGTAAAATAAGCGGCCCCTTATTAAAATTCAGATATTGCTATCTTTATCATTGTCAAGTTCTGAAACACAAGCCGTATATTACTATAACTTCACCTTGCTGGCATGTGGTAAGGAAGCCACAGCCTTGGACCTGGGATCAAATCTCAGAGAACGCACGGATGATTGTGAGCATATAATGCCTATTCTGAACAGAGGTACTTCAATTCCTGTCGAGCGGTTAGACTTGTTGAGAGATTGGTAGTAAATGAAGAGGAATAAATGATGCTAGGATACCTTTCCCGGAAGGCTTTACATCAAAACCTATGATGGAGCCGAGTAAACTCATGCGGTCACTATAAAGTGACCAAGGCTTAGACGAACGACAGGCGCTATTCCTTGAATCTTGGGCTCGATAGAATTTGTGGTCTTGGTCTGGATAAAGTTCAAATATAAGCAATATGAGCATTTGTTGTAACAGAAGCTCTTCTACCTCTTTGTTGACTTTCACAATTCTCACATGTTAGAATTTAATTTGTCTTTTTTTGTTGTCTTTTACTTATTTAATTTGTCTTTAATGTATGTGCTTTAAAACCCTCTAATTGGGAAGGCCGTATATATACGGTTTAGAATATTTTTGTGATATCTGTAAGAACGTGCATATAAATATATGTCTTGTGATACGTGCATATTAAAATATTTCAAAGAAATTAAGGCAATATATTAAAAGTACACAAACGTTCTTAGTGAAAACTCTGGCCGGTCAGAGGGTTAAAAGATACATTAAAGACTGAAAAAGCAATAATCAGCGCAAGTTTGCAGATTCAAATCTACAGTTTCGAAGATTAAACAAAGCGTTCTTCTTCAGCTATCTTCTTCGGCCTTTAAAAGTAATCCTGCAAATATTTGCAGCTTTATCGATTCTTGTTGCTTAGATATCTTCAGCATGCGTTTATTGTGTGTTATTTTAGTTAATATTAGTTTAAAACATATTCTAAGAAAATACATACCGTTAGCAGTCAGCAAGTTGGAATTTAATACGTTTTCCGACTAGTCTGAAATATAATCCAAGAACAGCTAAGTGAAAAATTGTGAAGTTCATCATACTTGTTAACCAACTGGTTACTGTCATAGTTAACTAAACTATGCCACTTCGAAGAAAGAATAAAGGAAGAAAGAAATGCAAATCAAAAATTAGAAAATGCAAATAACCTAATGCTAAAGAAAGGATAAGTAAAATGCTAGAGATAAAAAGGGAAGTGGTGACTATTACTTTTCTTATCATTAGTACGAATACTTCTTAAAAGATTGCTTTTTATTCTCTTACTTTTAGACCGATATTCAAAAGTCATGAATAAGATTTAAACATTTTCATCTCAAGTTTTGGAAAAAGTGTAGTTTACTTTATACTGTTCCAGAGCAAGAAATTTTGGATTATTTTGATTGCAAATAATTATGCTATAATTATCAAGCCTACAAATTTTACGAAGTTTTAATTTTTAGTAATTAGTTTGTACACTTCTTTTACACTTTTTTAATAATTAGATTTTACTATTTACTTTCTTACTTGTAGTAATTAGTTTTTACAGTTTTCGTATTCGAAGAGACGTCAGTAACCATTAAACATATGTTTTTTTTTTCCTCTCTTCTTTCTGCTTACTGCATATGCAGAGTACAATTAAGATGATATCGCACTCTGAGCTCTGAGACTATAGCCACAGCTCTTTAGCAAGAGTGCAAGAGTTGAAAGTTAAAC